AGTGCCTACTGTGTGCCAGACATTGCTTTAAATGCTGTAGGGTTCAAATATAAGCAAGGTGCAACCCCTGGGCAGTTCACAATCTGGTGGTGGAAAGAAGTCATATGTGCAAATATATCATGGCAGATTGTATACAGAAAGTGATATTTAGGAGGTATAGATAAAGTGAGCAGTGGTAGAAGAGGGAAAGGAAACTATACTGACCATCTATCTACCAGGAAGACTGTATTAAAAACAAGGCCAACTGGGGGTGGTGGCCCAAGCCTATAATCCCAGCACTTTGGGAGACCGAGGCAAGAGGATTGCCTGAGCCTGCGGGTTCAAGACCAGCCTGGGCAACATGGTGAGACCTCGTCTCTACAATAAATCAAAAAATTAACTGTGCGTGGTAGCGCGTGCTTGTAGTTCCGGCTATTTGGAAGGCTGAAGTGGAAGAATCGCCGGAGCCCAGCAGGTTGATGCTTGAGTGGCCATGAGCATGCCACTGCACTCCAGCCTGGGCGACAGAGTGAGACTCCAATTAAAACAAAAAACAAAAAACAAGGCCTTTGAACTTGTCTTGAAACTATGGAGGTTTTTCAGAGAAAGAAATGAAGAACAGTTCATGGTACATTCTCAATGTTTATTGAAGTTGTTAATGAAAGACTCAGATGCAAGATGTGCTTGAGAAATATCAAGTTTACTAATCTTTACCTAAACACAAATTACCCTTATCTGGAAAAATTTAATTCAAGTATACCACAGCATACACAAAAAATGCATTCTTGAAATTTTACATTGAAATTCCCATGTCAAAAGCAATTTTCCGTAAGAAATCATGGCAAAGGAGGGGACTGGGAGTTTTGATTAAACTGAAGTGATGTTATAGGCTAGATTAGCAGTTCTTAAAGTATGGTTTAGGAACCTTGGGTGTCCATAACCTCCAGGGAGCTACAAGGTCAAAGCTAGTTGCACAACAGTATTAAGATGTAATTTTTCTTTTTCACTGTGTTGATATTTGCACCAATGATGCAAAAGCAATGGCAAGTACAACTGTTGGTGCTGCTGTATGAATAAAGGCATTGGCACCAAAATGTATTCTGTAGTCATTGTATTTTTCACTGGCATACACTTGCAGAAAAATAAAGGGTAGTGGTACTTAAGGATATCATTGCTGAAACTGTAAAATGTTGTTAATGTTATTAAACCTCACTTTTGCATTTTTTTTTTTTACCATTTTGTGTTATAAAATGTGAAGTACACTTTATCTGGTAAACTATGTCAATGTGTATCTCAAGAAAAAGCACTTGTGAGATTATTTGAGCTCTGAGTTAAACTAGCTTTTATTTTTCATCTTTACTTGAGAGAGTGACTGACAAATTATGGTTATACAAACTTGAATATTTGCTAGACATTTTCTTGGAAAGGAACAAAGAGAGCCTGTCAGTTCAAGGAAAACAACTGGCAATATTTACTGCCAATGTTAAAATTCAAGCATTCAATGGGAAACTAAAATTTTGGAAATTTGTATCTGCCGCCGTGAGCTTGGGAGCTTCCCAATACTTAGAATTTTTTCTGATGCGATTGGAGGTGATATTAACAAATGTGATACTTTCAATATCATATAATGAAAGGTGTTGACATATGAAAAACCTGCATAGCTCAGTGAGCCAATATTTTACAGATGACCTATGCATGATGATACAAAATGAATGAAAGGCACTGTTTAAAGTTCCAAACATACCAGTGGATTTTAATGTAACAGGGCATGAAATGTTTATTTGTATGGTTTCATATTCCAAATTGTAACTACTTGTTGAGTTTTTATGTAGTATCAAAGTAATATATATACAATTATCTGAAAAGCCTACTAAAATATTCCTTGCTTTTCCCACCACATATCTGTGGGAAGCTATATTTTCTGCATATGTTTCAGAACAACATATCACAACAGATTGAATGGAAATGCAGCTATGATAATCCAGCTCTTATATTATCCAGACATTAAAGAGATTTACAAAAATGTTAAACAAGCCGGGCTCGGTGGCTCAGCCTGTAATCCCGCGCCTTTGGGAGGCTGAGGTGAGTGGATTGCCTGAGCCCGCGGGTTCGAGACCCGCCTGGGCAGCGAGACCTCATCTCTACAATAAATCAAAAAATCAGCCGGGCGTGGTAGCGCATGCCTGTAGTTCCAGCTACTCAGAAGGCTGAGGCGGAAGGATCGCCGGAGCCCAGCAGGCGAGGTTGCGGTGGCCGGAAGCGGCCACTGCACTCCAGTCTGGGCGACAGAGTGAGACTCCAACTCAAAAAAAAAAAAAAAAAAATGTTAAACAGTATCACTTTTCCCTACTAATTATCCTATGTCTGATAAAATATGTATATTTTTCATTTAAAAATGTTTATATTATATCATGGTTTCATTTTTGTTATGTTTACATGAGTTGCTAAATATTTTTTAAATTTTTCAGTTACAGTTTCTAAGATAACAAATGTTGGTTGTTAAAATTTATATTAACAAGAGTTTTCTGGGGTTCTCAGTAAAAGTATAAATGGGTCCTGAGACCAAAACGTTTGAGAAACACTAGTGTAGCTCATCTTAGCCTGTATTTCTCTATTAAAAACTTAGATGTACAGGACGAGTGGCAGAGGATGTGGGAGGGTGTGAGAGTAGAAGCGCTAACACGGCAGGGTGCTGGAGTGGGAGATAGTTGGTGAGTTGGCTTCTCTAACACTTTTAGAGGTTGCTGGCCAGGAAAAACTTGTTGGGGGCTTTTCTTTCTTGGCTTAAAAGAATTAAAATAACCACCTGCAGAGTAGCATTTCTTTGTTATGCAGCTTTTTATAAGTAGGTCTTGGTGTAACAACTAAATCACAGGTGGAGACTATAAAAGTATACTTCACCATGACAATAAGCACAGAGACGATGGAAGCCACAGAAACCAAGATGTGCCTCTGTTTGCAGCAATTTTTTTTTCTGGTTATCTCTTCCACAATCACGAAAATCTCAGTTGCTATACATCCAGCATCTTTTGTTGGTTGTCATTTAAAAGTAGGGGGTGGAACTGAGATTTAAGATGAGAAATGGATGATGAAGCAGAAGCCAGAGGAAAAACAGAGGGTATTCAAATGAACCTTTAAGCTGGGCTCGGTGGCTCAGTCTGTAATCCTGTGCTTTGGGAGGCCGAGGTGAGTGAATTGCCTGAGCCTGAGGGTTCGAGACCTGCCTGGGCAACTTGGCAAGACCTCATCTCTACAATAAATAATAATAATAAAAAAATTAGTCGGGCGTGGTAGTGTGCGCCTGTAGTTCCAGCTCCTTGGAAGGCTGAGGCGGAAGGATCACTGGAGCCCAGCAGGTCGAGGCTGCGGTAGCCGGGAGCAGCCACTGCACTCCAGTCTGGGCGACTGAGTGAGACTCCAACTCAAAAAAATAAAAACAAAAGTAAAAAAATAAAATAAAATGAAGCTTTGGAGAGAGATGGTAAGAAAAAGTTGCCCCCAGGGATAATTCATGCTGTAGGCTGGATCTCTGGATCAGTGGAGAGACTTTTGGGAGGTGGGAGTGCCATAGAATTAGGTAGGCATTGACCATATGACTGAAAAGCCAGACACTGAAGAGCAAAATAAACATGCTGTTTAGTTAACATATTGTCTACAATAAAGCAAAATGAATTTTAAAGCGTCTTACTGGAATTGTGGGAGAGGGAAATATTTAACAATTTTTCTAGTGATCAAGGCATCTGTCATGATGATTAATTATAGGTACAGTACTCATTTAAAATGTGTATAGAAGCCGGGTTCCATGGTTCAGCCTGTAATCCCACGCCTTTGGGAGGCTGAGGTGAGTGGATTGCCTGAGCCCGC